GGACTCACTTAACAGCTTTTATGGCAAAAGTTGTGTTCTCATACTTGAATTGACTGAAAAAGAAAAACTAAGTCAAATAGTGCCATGTGCTCTTTACAAGTGAATTTTTCCCATAATTATGTATTGGCTTTGGAGTTGGAATGTTGGTAGTGATGTATTTGCAACTTATTATGTGTAGATATTATTTAAAGCCATGGGATCAAAAGAGACTTCCTAGGGAGTTGGGGCAGATAAAAGAAGGTAAAAGTCATGAAAATGCTGCCTTGTGTCATGCCAACATGACACGAAGTCTAGAAGATGAGAGGCAAAAGAACTTGAGAAGCAAATGATATTGGGATAGAAGGAACCAAGACAATGATGAATCCCAGTGATGAAAATATCTCAACTTGTTTAAAATGGATGGCTACGTCAAATAATGGAGTAGGATGAAAATTTGATATTTAGATTTGGCTATGTAGAAGTTGGAGAAGATCCAAACAAGTGATGCATACCTATAACTTTAATTTGAGAGAGTTAGGGGGAAATGCAAGGAGACGGTATGCAGACTAGCCATTATGTAACTTTGACAATAAAGGAGGCCAGAGAAATGGGGGTTGACTGCAGGGATGTCTTTGCTTACTTGAGGTACTTCTGGTTTTCTTTCTAAGACAGGAGATAGCAGATTTTTTTTTTTATGCTGATGGCATGATCCACTAAAGAGGGGAAATTATACTGCAGGGAAAAGAAAGATAACTGAAAAATGAATAACCTCAAGGAGTCATAGAAAACAAGATTCAGTGCACAAATTATGGATTTGTTCTTAGACAGGAGCAAGGACAGCTCCTCTGTAGTTCAGGAGACAGAGGCTATATGGGTAAGAATACCAGTAAGGGGCTAAATTTGGTAGTGAAAGTACGTGCAAGTGGTTTTCTGCTTGTTCATATTTTCTCAATAACCCAAAAAAATCATCATCTGAGAATAAAATAGGAGACAAAGTGAGGAAAAAAAGAAATGAAATGATCATTTAAGAGTGTGAAAGACTTTGGGAGAGTATAACAGGAATAACTACATAATAATTAGAATCCACTCAGTTAGTTTTCTGTTATTCTCCAGTTATACCCATTTGCCAGTTCACAGATATGAGTATGTTTCCAAAAAGTTGGGTTTAACATAGATTGGAGTTCTCGCAACAAAAGAGAGGGCAAAGTAGTTGTGGCTGTGTGCAGAGAAGTGGTTAAAATGATAAACCAGTCAATCTAAATGTGTAAGGAAGGAAATTAAGATATGTGTATCAAGGAGTAACAAAAGCTGTGGGATCACAGAATTTTTGGAGCTGAGATACTAGCAGACAAAAATATAAGGGGTAGTATTTGCCAAAAGGGATAATTAAAATTTGGTTTCCTCAAGAGATGCAGTTATTAATGGCAGCCAATAGGTAACTATGGGAATGGACATCTGAGGTAAGGTAAGAGACCAGATCACTAGAGAAGAGGAGGAGGAATTGAGAGTACATAGTACTGGATCAAGTCCATGCATATATTAATTAGGAGCAATACTGTTGTCCTGCAGGAGCAACCTCAGTGTTTCAGTGGTGACACACAGATCCAGGCAAAGTGGGAGCTCAGCAACCATCTCCACTGAATGTCTTAGGGAGTCAGTTTGGGGCTTTGTATCTTAACATGTGGCATCTATAGTCCCTGTAAAAAAAGGAAGCAAGAGAATGGAAATGGCACATGATCTCTTAAATGCTTCTGCTCAGAAATGACACTCATCATTTCTACTTGCCACATCACTGGCTAGGACCGCTTCTCCAGCTCCACCCTAGCACAAAGCATAGGGCAATGCACTGAATATTAGTGAGCACTTCTGCAACCACCATGTTGACATTCCCTCGTTAAGAATGGTGAGGGGGAGGTAGCGGAATAAATGGGATTCACCGAGAAGGTGGTACCAGATCCGCAAAAGCACTAAAGGTACAAGGGACTTCATGGCATGAGCAGTCGGGCATGGAGGGCCCATCTGCTAGACGTCACCCCACTGCTCTACTTACTTCTGTGCATGTGACATAAGATGTCTCAATTCAGAAGGAAATAGTCAATCATCTAGATCTTTCCTAAGGCAATATATTTTAAACTATACAGGAATAGGCTGCTGATGAATCTGATTAATATAGAGTTAACTATATTTCTTATGTGAACTACTAGGTTTTAAAGAATGAAAATAAGGGAACAATAAAATTTTACTGAGCATGATTTATTCTCTCCTTTATGATTTAGATGACACCTTTTGCTCCTAGAATGACTCAGGGACATGCCTATGAACATCAGTCATAATTGAACTGCAGATGTGCGAGGCAATAATTCACGTGGCCTCTTTGCACTCTGTGAACTCAAATTGGGCAGAAGAAGAGTAATGACAGCAGGGAATGGAAGGGTGTAGAGATGGGGAAACTCCCCAAGCGGTAGGACTTGATCTCAAGGGTGAAACCAGCAGTTGACATGATACAAGTCCAAGGAGTCAAGGGACCTTGAGTTTCAATCAGAGTTGACACTTACATCCAGGAGGTAATATTCAGGTGCTGGGAACACAAGACCACAAACTGTATCACTTATCATGCAGGAAGACCATATGTCTCCAATCCAGTAGGTTAATTGCTTAGAAGCAGATGTGGAGTTTCAAATATTGAGGTTTCTCCATAAGTCATAGTTTATTAACATGAGGTTTATAAACTGGGGTTTTCAAAGAACCGAACGAGCTGCAAATCATTGTGAGGTCCAGGACAAGGGTCAGGATAGAACAAAATTGAAAGGCAAAGCAGGAAACCAGAGAGATAAGCACAGGGAGAAGGTAGGAGGAAAGGCCGATATGTGACAAATATCCCAGATAACAGGTCTAAGTGAGCATACCGATTCCAGAGCAGTCACCCAGAGATATGATAGGGCTACTATTAAGGGAAGAAGAGAGAAAGAGAAAGGAGGGGGAGAAGGAGGAAAATGCCTTGAGTATGTTTGCCAAGGGCTTGGCCAAGAGATTATCTTCTGTGGGAGGGAAGGACAGGTTAGAGGAGGCAGAAACTGCCAGGAAAAAATGAAAGGTAGAGAAAATTGTGGCTTACTCTTCTGCAATGCCAGATGGGAGTCCTCCAGATGCTGCAATACTACACACCACTCCATCTTGGGAAATATCTCAAGGTCTGTACTTATGCAGCCCTATTTGGACACTGGGCCAATATTCAAACGGAATAACGAAAGAAGATTGTCATTGTAATGGAACTAAATTCACAGAAAAGAGTCCAAGAATATTTTTAGTTTAAGGATTCATTTAAATTCTTATTGTCTTAAGGGTGTTTTACTCTCCTTAATCCTATTCTTTACCCCTGCCACCATGGACCTAAAGCTCCACTGTCTCCACAGTGGAAAACTAGATAAAGCTGAACCTGAACCAAAGGACAGAAGCCAAAGGAAAGCAGATCCCTGTGTGGAAAGTGGTGCGAGGAAAGAGGAACATCTAAGAGACGTGAAAGACTTCACAATTCCTAGGGAAACTATGAGAAAGTGAAAGTGGTAGTGGGGGCAAAGGAAGGATGAGAGGAAGAGGAAAGGGGGAAAAGATACTCTCTAAGGAAGGCTCTCAGGACATCATTAGGAAACCATGTAGAAAGCCCCAGGAATCAGTTACAAAGCCCACTCACCTGGGAGCAAGCTGGGTTCCCGAATAAAATGGAAAGGTACCCATGATTCCACCCAAGACAGAAAAATGATCATGGTAGAAAGCCTAGCAATGTATGGGCCGGGGATTTAACTCAATGGTGCTGCTGCCTGCCTCACATGCTTGATCCCCAGTACAAAAGAAAGAAAGGGAGGG